TATTAACTTCTGATGATGTAAAATGAAGGGCTGTGGTGGGTAATTCTTGTTGTTTCAGTTGTGTCCAATCTTTCGTGACCCTATTTGGGGTTTTCTTGGCAAAGATACTGGAGTGGTTTGCCATTTCCTTCTCCCACTCATTTTACAGGTGAGGAGACTGAGGCAAACAGGATGAAGTGACTTGCCCAGGGTCACCCAGCTAGTAAGTGTTTGAGTTCACATTTGAACTCAAGTCTTCTGACTCCAGCCCTGGGACTCTATTCACTGTACCACCTAGCTGCTCCCTGGAGAAAGACGAAAACAAAAACAGTCCCTGCTGTCAAGGAGCTTACACTCTACTGATTGTGACTGGGTTACAAAAGTCAGATTCCATATTGTGTGTTGGGAATTGATAAGTTATTATTGACAATTAATTTTCCCCTTCCACTCTCTCCTGGTCCCATGGCTACACCTGACCAGGTTTCAAAAGATGGACCATACACAAAGGGAAGCAAAATCGCAATGTCTCCTTTATGGAGCTTGTATCAATTTGAATACTGAATGGAGAAGTGGAAAAGGAGAGGTAGAATGGGCAAGAAGACGGAGGAAAGGAGAGGCTCATGTGCTTCATTCCATTGAGCACACATTCAGAGTTGGAGATTTAGGGCTGGAAAGAATCTTCAAGATCCCCTGGTCCCAGACTTTAGGGTCCATGGATAGGTGTTTTAGGGGGTCCATGAACTTGAATGGCAGAAATTTCATCTTTATTCCAATATAATTGGTTTCCTTTGTATCCTGTGCATTTGAAAACATCCTGAAAATGGGTCCATAGGCTTTACCAGACCAACAAAAGGGGTCCATGACCCACAAAAACGTTAAGAAGCCCTGATGTAGTCTAGCCCTCTCATTTTAGAGTAAATTGAGGTAGAGAAGTGAAGTGATTTTCCTAAGGACACACAAGTAGTCAGTAGGTAACCAAGATTTGAACCCAGATCCTGGGATTCCTGATCTTTCCACTGCTGCTTTCTTGCCCCTGGGGCACAGTAAGACACAAGGGCATCATTGCCCTACTAGAGATCTAACATTTCTTGGGACTTAAATCTTTTAACTCGTAGAAATGCCAATGATTCACAAAAAGAACCTCTATTTCACAGATGACCCTTTATTTCACCTGCAGCGTCCTACCATGGCAATCTTCAGTAATAATTATGAGTAACCTGGATTTGCTTCTTTCATGATAGCTCCCCACCAAAACACACAAACTGAATGGAATCATTTAACTAGAGATTATGTTCTTAAACATTTCCTCATGTAGAGCTATCATTTCTCATCCTTGAACGCTCATGCTGAATACAATCCCCAGATCTCTACACACAATTTTTAAATTCTCCAAATCAAGTCCCCTAATTAATTTAGGGCAAATCCTTTTAAATTCTGCAATAACTGGTGCCAAAGACATAGCATTCTTTGAATGCCACCAAGCCCCTGTACCCTGAGATGGCAAACGGTCCTGGAGAGCCAGGGATCTGAAGTCAGAAGATCTAGAGTTAAGGCTTGGCTCTGCCTCTCATAATCTTTGGGACCTTGAGCAAAAGAGGCAGCAAAGTGTGGTGGTGATTTTCACAGCACAACATAGCTGAGAAATTTCACAGGCCATTAATTCTACAAATATTTATCGAGCACCTATTATGTGACAAGCAATGGAGTCAGTTACTCCGGAGGATACAGAAAATAATGGTCTCTGAACTCAATGTGCTTATTGTCTAGGGATGGTGAGGGGATGGGGATAAAGACAGGTACTCCCTTGTTATGACCACAGGAACTATGTGAAAATGCCACAGGAGCCCTTGCTCTGTCCTGCTAGTTCAGAGTTCAAAGAAGGCAGTGATTTCTAGCTGGGGTTGAGACAGACACTCCTGGCATACCCTCCCTTCTCACCCCAGGCCTGGTAAGGGCCTTTGGTTTCCTTCAAAGACAACCATCCCCTTAGTTGTCATTGGCATATCTCTCCTCAAATTATCTTGTGTTTATATAGGTTTACGTGTTGTATCTTCCAGATGTAAGCTCTGAGAGAGTAAGGACTGCTCATCACTTTTGCTTTGTATCCTGGGCACATAGTAGGGAGTTAACTAAAACAGCAGTTGTTGAGTAAATAGTAGGTGCTTTGCATTAACATTTTTTTTGTCATTCAGAGGCCTTTTGAGCTTTTGAGGGGTGAGGTTGTGTTTAATTCACATTTATTAAGCAACGCTTTTTTTGCGGAGTTTTTGGTACCAAAGGAAATACAAAGTTTGAATATTATATATATATTACGATACAAATATGCACATGTGTGTGTCTGTGTACATATATATGTATGTATATATATGACTTAGTATGCATTTGTTCGCATGTTGTCTGTCTCATTAGACTGAAAACTCCTGGAAGGCAGGAATTGTCTTTTGCCTTTCTTTGTATCCCCAGCACTTAGCACAGTGCCTGACACAAAGTAGGTGCTTAAGAAATGTTTATTGATTGATTGATATGGTGCTTGTCCTTATGGACTTTGGTAGATATAACACATCTTAGTAGAGAGAATTATTAAAACAATGATATTCTATTTTTTTTCTCTCATGACCTCATCAGCGCAAATGGGATTAATGATGATCTTTATGTTGTTGGCTCAGATCCAGTCTCTCTCCTGAGCTCCAATTCACCATCATCGATTGCCTCTTGGACATTTCCAAGGGGATGTCCCATAGGGATCTCAAATTCAATACGGCCAAAACAGAACTTGTGATCTTTCTTCCCAACTATTTCTGTTGAGGGCACCACCATCCTTTCAGTTACCTAGGTGTGAAACCCCAGTGCCATCCTTGACACCTCTCTCTTACTGGACTCCACATCGATCCAATTACTCGCTAAATCCCGTTGATTTCATCTTCACAACATCTTTTCCATCTGTCCCTTTTCCCTCCGTTCTCACAGCCACCACCTGAGTTCAGGCCCTCATCACCTCTCACTCAAACTATCCCAAGTCTCTTAACTGGTGTCCCTGCCACAAGGGAGGCCTCTTCCCATTGTAATCTATCCTCCATACAGCTGCCAAAGTGACTTTTTTTTTTTGCAAGCGCAGGCCCAACCATGTCACTTTCCTTCTCATTAAATTCCCGTGGCCCCTATCATCCCTAGGATCAAATATAAACTCCTCCCTTGGACATTTAAAGACTTTCACAATATAGTTAACTCTCCACTTTGATTTATTACACATTACTTCCCTTCACATACACACTCTCCTCCTTCCAGCTTTGTGCCTCTTTCTATACCTGGAAGGCATGCCCCTTCCTCACCTTTTCCTCTTAGGATCTCCAGTTTCCTTCAAGGCTCAGCTTAATGACAACCCTCTTTACATGAAGCCTCTCCTGATCCACCCTGGTGATAGTGTTGTGCCCAGCACATAGTAGGTGCTTAATAACTGCTTACTGATGGAATGTATGACTTCGTATCAATCAGACATCCTGAATAAAGTACTCTGTGAAATCCAAGAGGGAAGAATGAGGAAGACTTCATGGGGAGGTTGAAACAGGACTTGGGTTTTGAAAACAGCTAAAGAATGGGAGTGCCATTACAGGCATAGGAACAGTGTGAGCAGAGGCACAGGGCGGGAAGGGACGGGCCTGTACGGGGGACAAGAGTAGTCGTCTTTGGGCAGGCAGGGCATACTGTATGTTTGGGGAGCAGCGTGAGGCAGGGATGGCAGTGGAGGATAGTGTTAGATTGTGGAGGAACTTGAAGATCGGGCAAACTCGCTGGCCACTGGAGGCATTCAAGATTTCTAAGGAATAATTATTTGGGACCACATCCGTCTTGGGGACATCAGTCTGGCAACCAGAAATATGAGATATTAACATACATCACAGCAAATGCTGTGATACTCATTGGCAGTATCACAGTGATGCTCTTCTTGTCTTCTGCCTGGGCTACTGCAGTGGTCTTCTGGCTGACTGACGTCTGCATCTGGTCTCTTTCCTCTCTAAACTCATCTATCTTTAGTTTCAGAGGAAACTAAAAGCTGCAGGTGAGAAAGTTTCGGCTGTGTCCAAATGATGGTGAAAGAGATGTAAGTCAGCCATCCTGACAGCTCAGTGATAAGTGATGTGGCTGGGCTATTAGTACCTTAAGAACTTTCTTGAACCTTAAGCCAATCACTCACTTATTGGATAGGTGGTACTAGATTAAAAGGACGCATATTAGCATTATGAAAAAAAAAAAACTCAAGAATTTGCCAAAAATCAGAGGGACACAGGCAATCAGGCAGGTTTCAGGTTTCTGTGTAAAGAGGAAATACATTTTTATTCTCTTTCTTATTACCTCACTGTCACCTAGCTTCCCTATATATTTTTCTTAATGAAGAGTGGGAGAATTTTAGAAAAAAAAGGAGTCTGGTTAAAAGCATGTTGTTGGGATTCAGATTTCGAGTGGCATTCACTCCTCAGTTTTATCACGTGAATCATCTGTTAAATCATCTGATGGTCCTACTTTATTGAGCAAATAATCAGATGAATATGAACAACAAAAAGAATTTCCTATGGTAAATGAAACAATAACAACTCAGTTGATGAGTTCAAAATGCTCTATAGATTTAATCTTATTAAGCCTAACATTCCAATAAAGCCAAATTGCCAAAGCAAACGTATATACGTATGTATATACATATTCTGGCAGGGATGGAGAAATAAAGTAAGAGAGCCAAATTTTCTGACATATTTCTTCCTGTAAAAAATGTCTGTGTTCCGGAGAACTGGGAGCAATACATACATCCCGATACAGCAGATGCCCTTTGTACACTACTGTAATAAATCAAAAGCACTGGCCTTTCATTTACCTTTTTTGGATTAAGGTCAATTACATGGTCTCAAAAAATACATAAAAAATGAAAATTTAGAATAGATTAAGAAAAAATCATTTAATAATAAGATTAAACACTTAGACATTAGTATTAAAAACATTTGCCTGTTTAAAGGATACTTAAAAATAAAAAATAAGGATTCTGACCAAAATATTTATTAAAAATACGGTGTGAGAACTTAGTGTACAAGGAAGATATTTATTTTACATCTCAGTCACCCAAAACAATAGCTTGTGGTCACCTCCCATTGCACAAAGAGGGAGAGTCCGATGCCAGGACAGACCAGATCCCACAGCTGCAGAACCAATGAGGATGGGCTACAAAAAACAAAGAGCAGAAGATGGGAGAGAAGAGTCAGAATGTAACAATAAATCCAAAAGGCACAAAAATCTAAACAAAACATCCTCCAAACAAGTGTGTTATAGCTATCTGTCCTCATTTACAGCATATGCCGGGGTGGGGAACCTGCGGCCTTGAGGCCACATAGGGCCCACTAGGTCCTCAAGTGCGGCTCTTTGACTGAATCCAAACTTCAGAGAAGAAATCCCAGGCATACACTTTATAGATTAATTTTCCTGAACTGTTTAAATTAATGTTGTCTGTCATCTATACCGATGACCACACTGACAGATTCAGGGGAATGTCTGCAGGAGTGGGGAAGGAGACCATGTTCTTGGCCAGCCGCTTCTGCCCCACGCAGCACGTGCTGCTGGGATGACAAGGCAGCGAGGGCACCATCGGGGACCAAGGGAGCAGAAAGATGACCAGTCGATCAAACTCGTGATCTTGTAGTCATTAACACTCCAGCCAGACAATTTCATGAGATGATGACACAATTTAAATAAAGAAGGAAAATGGAAAATCAATAGGAGAGAAATATTAGCATGCAATACATTGTAAATTTGAAAAGACTTTTATTAACTCGCTATTAATGAATGTAAACATTAGGAAAAATACACCTTTCTAAGTAATGTAACAGGCTAAAATGACAGCCAATTTAGAGATTATAAATTCGGAAAGAGGAAAGCAAGGAGTAGGGACAGATAGATGATGACAAAAACAGCCCCCAAACCCAAGCCATACTACCTGAGGGTGCCCCAAATGGTGAATCAGAAGCTGAGTGGTCATTTTGCCAGGGTAGCCAGTGGTTGCAAATAGGTTTTCATTTACTGTCGACCACCTGAGAAAAGAATCACCATTGATCACTTTGGCCTCTCCGCACAACTGAGGTGGCTCCTCCACCCAATCCTGACCCCAATCTCTGTTCTATGTTATCTCACAAAATGTCTCCATCCAGTCCTAGTGACACTTAAAACTCAAATCGATCTGAAATTCAACTCATCTTTTTTAGAGTACCAATCCTACTGTGGGTCCTCATTTGGGAAAGTTATTATTTATTCAGGCTTGGGGTCAACCCACAGATGTACTAACTGGCTAAATCCTACCACCGCTACTCTGGCCATGTCTTTCCTATTCTTTCCTTTTTATTCCCAGTGACGATGGCCTGCTGTGTGATGCTCTTCTTGTCTTCTGCCTGGGCTACTGCAGTGGTCTCCTGGCTGACTGACGTCTGCATCTAGTCTCTTTCCTCTCTAAACTCATCTATCTACAGCTGTCATATTAACTTGTATTCTCAGGGATCTTAGAAACCTTCCAGTCTAACCCCTTGTTTTACAGATGTGGAAACTGAGGCCTAAAGATGAGATGGGCCTTTTCCTAGGTCACAGAACAGAGATTCCCACTCAGAAGGTCCTCTAAGTCCAACTTCAGTGCTCTGTTATGATGATACCAGGCTGACTCCTCATTGGCAGTATCACAGCATTTTGTGCTTCTCCTTTTTCCTTCTGCATTATACCTTGTGTTATCACCTACTAGAGTAAAAATTCTCTGAGGATTGATTCTTGTTTGTATCTCCCATAGCATGGATGTCAAACTTGAGGCCTGGGTAGCTTGCGGCCTGCACAACTCCCCAGTGAGGTGAGAGAATGTTTTGCATAAATATAAATACAATAAAACAGAGAATGTCAACTTGTGCTTTTCTAAGTTTCTCTTTGAGTTTGATACCACTGCCCATTTTTGCGGGTAGTTCCAAACTGCTTTCTAAAATGACTAGATCAGTTCATGGCTTCACTAATAGGGCATTAGCATGACTGTCTGTCTAACAATTATCATTCTATTGTTTCTCATCTTTGCCAAATGGATGAGTGTGAAGTGGAATCACAGAGTTGTTTTAATTTTATAATGCCGTGGAACATTTTTTCATACTTTTTGTTGTTGTTTTTTTTAATTCTTTTTGAAAACTGCTAGTTTGTATGCTTTGCTGTCTGTTGGGGAATGGATCTTGTTCTTATATATTTGGATCAGTTATCTATATATCTTAGATATTAGATGTTTATCATAGAAACTTGCTGCAATATTTCCCCTTAATTAACTGTTTCCCTGCTAATTTCAGCTACATTGACTTTGTGAAATAATTTTCAATTTTACATAATCAAAATCATCCATTTTATTTCTTGTTATCTTTTCTGTCCCTTGTTTGGTCAAGAACTCTTCCTATGGACAGTTGTGCCTCTAGATCACAGAGCCATTTGGAGCTTCGTATAGTATATAGTGTAAGATGCTGATTTAACCCAAATTTCTGCTAGACTGCTTCCCAAGTTTTTCTTTTTTGCCAAATTCCATGTTTCTTCATTAATGCCCTTAAAAGCTCCTAGCCTTTTCCTGGGGGGCCTGGGGTGAGGACAGGGTAAAACTGTGGATTTATTGGGCAGAGATAATGGACCTCTGGACTAGGAAGGTGGCAGTACTTGTCTAATCTAATATTTCAAAGGAAGATGTGAAAGGACGAAATGATAGACTGGACCCAGCAGAAGGAATCAACGATGACTCCAAGGTTTTGAACCGAGGAGACCAAAGGACTGTAGAGGGAAGGAGAAGAGTCGGGGGGCTACCACAATAATCCTCTTCCCCAAATAGAGACTACAAAGGCCTTTTCTCATATAGAAAACAAACGGCATCAAAAGGCTTGTAGTTTGATTGGAAGCCTGCCAAAGCCACTGCTAAAGAAACCAGTACGCTTAATGCACAAATTTTACAGTAATCAGCGTAGATCCCTGTTTTGGAAGGGTGCTCTGAGGAGGGAAAAGAAAGCTCTTTATGATGAAAAAACTATTCCTCAAGGCAAACCCCGTAATTGTGTACAATACTGATAGTTGTTGAAAGTACATAAAAGGAACTCATGAAATTTAGGTTAGAAAGCTAAGTTTGGGCCAATCGGAGTGATGCAAGATTGGGCACAGAAACCTGGACTTTACTCAGCAGGCAATGGGAGCAAGGGCAGGGAAGAAGTGAATTTAAAGGAAGTCTGGCAAGAGACCTATCAAAGCAGAATAACCTGGGGGCATTTAAGGATGAGCCCATGACGACAAAGAGACAAGAATGGAAACAATCTGGGCAGATTGTTGTAACAAACTCTCCCCTCTGTCGTCAGTAACAGTGGAACAGCCACATCTGGACGATCCCCAATAGTCTGCGTGAGGAAGGAGACCTGGAGCAGCTGGACTACCCACAGCCAGCACCTCGAAGAGAGGGCGAAAGAGGGAGGAGGCCCAAGGCCTGGGAGATGGCTCAAAGCATACTGCTATCTTTTTTTCTTCTTTTTTGTTTTTTGGGCAATTGGGGTTAAGTGACTTGCCCAGGGTCACATAGCTAGTAAGTGTCAAGTGTTTGGTCTGAGGCTGGATTTGAACTCAGGTCCTCCTGACTTCAGGGCCGGTGCTCTATCCACTGCGCCACCTAGCTGCCCCAACATCCTGCTATTTTATCAGTGACAAGAACAACAAAAGTGACTGAATGTTAAAAACTACTGATTCATATGCTTACTTTTCCATCTCTACAAAATTTTTATGAAAATAATCTACACACATATTGAGGTTATTCTTGATGAAGTTATGAGAAGGAACAGTCAGGGCTTTGCAAATAACATTCACCAGCAGATGCTTTTTTTTTGTTTTACAGTTATACAGTTTAAGTCTTAATGTGTTTACAGCTTATCTATAAAAAAACAAACACAACAACATTTCACTTGATAGAGCTAAACAATGCCTTAATAACTCTTTTTCAGCAAGGTATCTTTCCTGCATATGTTAAAGTCACATAAAATTCCTTCAATGATGTAGTAACAAATACAACTTTGGTGACTCTCTGCTTATTAATATCAAAGAGATCATGACAAAGGTAGACATGTCTCCCATATTCATGAAAGATGATCCTGTATAGTATCTTAGTGGGAGAGGGATTCCCCATCGATTTGCTGACTGAATATCTCCCTCACTGTAATACAAATTGCTGTTATGACTCCATCAATGGAAAAGGAGGCAAGGGACAGCAGACTGTTGAGCTGACTTATTTTTGTTTTCTTCCAGGGGTGTGGACAAAGGCCTCTTTTCCTTCTTGCAATACCTTTTCATTCTCTGTATTCTCTGAGTTGTTTTTGGTTTTTATAAAACCAAGCCGAACTAAACCCACCACACACCCAAGTATTTCACCAGTCTACAAGTTTTTGTTTTGAATACTTAAAAAGAAGTTATTCTTGAAATATTGGTGATGTTGACTCCACTATTTATTCCATTTCAGTCATCCAGAAAACATTCACTGAATGTCTGTCTGCTTTGTGGTCTATGGGGACTCGGGGTGAGGAGAGGAATGAGTGGTGGTGGTGATGGTGGTAGAGAATGAATTGTGGGAGATAAGAAAAATAATGAGACATAATCACTAACTTGAAGGAACTTACAAACTAGTAAGTGAGGAGACTAATATATGTGAAATTGTACCTAATAATATAAGAAAACAAACAATTAAGTGACAAACTGTGTAGAATGTACAATGCGTTTTGCAGGAGTTCAGAGAAGAGGGACATCCAGGAAGCTAGGAGGGTCAGAGGGTTATCTTTGGGAGAGGTGGAGTTTGAGCTGGATCATGGAGGCTGGGGTGAATGTGAGAAGGTAAAAGAGAGAGTACAGAGCATCACCATCAGGCTAAGCCTGGAGTAAGTCTTGGTGAGAGGGGAAGTCAATTCCTATGATAAGAAACAATATTAGTGCTTTGAAGGGGTTGGACTAAATGGTCTCTAAGGTTCCTCCTAGCTGAGATGGTGTATAATGCTTTTTTTCTATCCTTATCTGTTTTTTAATTAAAAACTGAAATTGACTTAAAGATTAACTTACCAGCTGTGATATGCAGGATTCAAGAGATTAAGTCAGAAACTTTCAAAATAACTGGGAAACTATACCTGAATAAGTGGGCTCGATCCATGTGGACAGGTCTCTTATCTTGAGGATAACTGAAAAGAAAGTATTTAATTACAACCTATCGGCCAGTCAGTCAATAAACATTTATTTAATGCCTATTATGTGCCGGACTCGGGAAACAAAGAATGGTAAAATGGTAAAATACAGTCCATGTTGTCAAGGAGCTCCCATTCCAATGGGGGAGGCAGCATGCACGCAACTGTGTGGGATAAATTGGAGATAATCAAGAAGGAAGGCATGAGAATTATGTGGGATTAGGAAAGGCTTTCTATAGAAGATGAGATTTTAGCTAGGAAGGAGGTGGAGGTGAGGAGGGACAGCAGTCCAGGCATGGGAGACAGTCAGAGAAAATTCCCAGAGCGGAAAGATGGAGTGTCTTGTTCATGGGACAGCCAGGAGACTGATGTCATTGGATCAAAGAGTATATGGGGGGATAGAGAGAGAATAAGGTGTGAGAAGACTGAAAAGGTAGGGGAAGGGCCTAGGTGAGCTTTGAGAATCAAACAGGATTTTCTACTTGATCTTGTAGTTGATGGGGAGCAAATGGAGTTTATGGAATAGGAGAGTGCAAGTCAGACCTACAGTACTGGAAAATCAATTTGACAGCTGAGTGGAAGATGGAATGTAGGGGGTTTTTAAGTATAGGGTTCATTATGATTATATAATATGCTATCTCTATTCTTGTATAAAACTTTTAACGTTAGGCACATGACATTTGATGACTAAGAAAATTGAAGAGCCCGTGGCAGGCAGACCAACTAGCAGGCTATTGCAATAGTCTAGGTGTTAAGTGATGAAGGCCTGCGGCATGTGGTGATGGTGTCAGAGGAGGGAAGGGGCCTATGCAAGAGATGTTATAGATATGGGGGGCAGGGGAAGGGTAGGAAAGTGCAGACTGAGGAGGAATGATCAGATAAGTAGAAGAACCAGAAGAGGATGGTGTCTTGAAAACCTAGAGAGAACAGAGTATCAAGGAGGAGAGAGTGATCAACAGTGTCAGAGGTCACAGAGAGGTCAAGAAGATGAAGACTGAGAACAGGCCATTAGAATGGGCAGTCATGAGACTGTTAGCAACTTTGGAGACAGTAGTTTTAATTGAATGATGAGAATGGAAGCCAGATTAGAGAGAGAAGAGGAAGTGGAGACACCCATTGTAGACGGCCTTCTCAAAGAGTTTGCCTACAAAAGGCAAGAGAGATGGGACAATAACTAGCTGGGATGGATGGATCAAGTGAGGGTTTTGTGAGGATGGGAGAGACACAGGCATGTTGGTAGGCATGTTAGTAGTCATTAGGGAAGCTGCCAGGAGACAGAGAAAGATTGAAGATAAATGACTGTGGAGACGATAAAGGGGGTAATCAGTTGGAAAAGATGGGATGAAATGGGATCACTTGGTCACGAAGAGAAGAATGGCCACTTTTCCAAGTAAAATAGGGGAAAAGGTGAAGACGGTGGAAGAAGCATCTCAGTGACCCCTCAGTGAGGAAGCCTTTGGTGAATAGCTTCAATTCTTTGACAAAACATGAGGCAAGGTTCTGAGCTGAGTGGGGAAAGGGGTGTCATGGGAAGTTTGAGGAGGGATGAAAAGGTCTGGAGGAGCTGCTGTGGTGAATAGGATAGGATAGGGAGTTAATTAGGGAGCTGTGGAAGGGTTGCCTTACAGCAGTGAGAACCCAGTTGAAGTTATATAATATAAATCTGTAGTAGACCCAGTCAGCATATTTTCATGTTTTTCTCTAGCTTCGTTCAGCTGCAAATCTAAAGAAATGAAGACGATGGTGGGAGGGATCTGCAGTTGAGACTTAGCAGGGAATGACTGGCAATAAGATAAGGGACAAGGGACTGAAAAGAGGACAGCGTGGAGTTGAAGTGGTTTATTAAAAGGTCAAGATTTGGAAAGGAGGAGAGTGTAGCTAGTACAGGGGTGACGGCCTGGGAAAGAACTAAGGAGTCAGTGTGGATGAAAAACAGGGTGTGGGGTAGCAAGACAAAAGGAGAGGTGGAATGGCAATAGATTGTGATCATATAAAGGAATTTCAGAGTTCAGGAACACAGAAGTGGAGCATTGTGGGTGATGGCAAGGTTAAAGATATGACCATCTTTGCGTGTGGCTGAGGTGAGGTGGGGGGCTAAGTCATGTGAAATGAATGACTGGAGGACTGTGAGGTTAGGGGGCTTGAAGGTGGGTCAGGATGTATGAAGTCCCCTAGTATGAAGGCAGGAGCTAGAGAGAAAAGATGTGAGTTAGGCACTGAAGTCAATGGGGAAAGAAAGGGAGGGTCCTGGAAGCTGGTAGAGGATGGCTACTAAAATTTTGATTGGGTGGCAGATTTGGATTGAGTGAACCTCAAAGGAGGTGAGGTTACTGAGTGATCCTGGTAGAGAGGGAACCTGGAAGTAGCAATGGGGGGGGCAAGATGTATTCCTACTCCCCCATATCTGCCAGTGAGTCTGGGGGAATGGGTGAAAGTGCAATCTGTGCTGGAAAGGAGGTCACAGGGAGGCTAGGTCATCAGGGGGGAACCAGGTCTCCATAAGGCATCTGGTTTAAATTGAATCTTGAAACATACATTTTATGATAAAATGGCAAGTCTAAAGTATTCACACAATGCTCGATGGATACAATTATGATAAAATACCAGAGAACATCAACAGTCGCTTGAATCTCATAAACAAGGATGAAACGATGATCTATAATCATTGGAAAGGCAAGAAGTGACTCACTGAGAAGACCCCATCAAGTAGTGGTGTAATGCTAGCGTAGCAGAGAGATGGCGGCCACTGATGCTTACTGACTCACGAGAGCCCCCAGCCATGCACGCACTTTGTTCCTAGCTCAATTCGCTCTCCAGACTGCCCCATCTCTTCTCCCCTCTGATCCTCCATTTCCCAGTTTCCTTTGGTATTCTGTCTTCCCCAAGAGAAGGTGAACTCCTCGAAGCACAGATTGAGTAGTTTTCTTCCATGTGTATCCTGAGCACTTAGCACAGTGCTAGGTACAAAGTAAGCACTTAATGAATACTCATTCACTCTACCACACATTAATGTTTGGCATAATAAAGATTTTTTTCAATAACACAATTGCTAAGGAAATACCTGGACCGAGTAATATCCCAGATTAACCAATCACTTCCTGCTACAGCTCCAACTTTGAAGGTGTTTCTCAAACACCAGTGCGCTGACATTAATGGTGCCTGTTCAGATTCCAGAGACAGGATAGCCTGCTGGGTGATGAGATCATAGAACCTGATTGTTCCGTCCTTCTCTGCAACCATCAACTAAACGACAGAAAAAGATACATTTACTGAAAATGATAATGAAACTTTTCTGCTATTTATGTCGATAATAAAAATTCAACAGGCAAACCTGTGCCATAAGATGCCGGTCCAAAAACAAACAAACAAACAAAAAAAAACCCCAACAAACCCCAACTTTCTTTTCTTTTCTTTTTTTTTTAAGGCAATTGGGGTTAAGTGACTTGCCCAGGGTCACCCAGCTAGTAAGTGACAAGTGTTTGGTCTGAGGTCAGATCCTCGGGTCCTCCTGACTTCAGGGCTGGTGCTCTATCCATTGTGCCACTTAGCTACGCCCCCAATTTTCTTGCTAATACTTAAAATGTATACTAAAGTATGAGGTGATGGATTCAATTCACCAAACATTTATAAAAGAATTTAATACGTTTGCAAGGCACTGTGCCAGGTGATATCAGATGGGGCTTATATTCTCCCAGAGGTCGCAAGGCTGGGTGACAAAAAGTTTTGTGTAAACCTGCAATAGTAAGTGGGAGACCTTGGATAAAATAAGAAAAATAAATTTTAATGAAGAAATTCATTAATACAATTTCAAGTGGTAAGATAAAACTATGAATGACTAAGAAGAAAGAGTGTGCCCTCCTAAAACTGCTGAGAAAGAATTCAGTATGAGGTCATGTATTAAATCATATAATTTTACGGAATGTCAATTTTGCGATACCCTCTGAATTAGGAAAAGACTAAGTTTAAGAGTTTATCAAGCACAGACAAGTGTTTCTTCCAGTTACATCTCTTACTTGTTTAGTCACGAACTTTTCCACTGCCCAAAGATCTGAAAGGTAACTCCTTACTTGCTCCTCAGATGTGTTTATGATGTGACTTTTTCTATCCAGGTCACGTTATCTGTCTTATCCTGCTATATGGTGTGAGCTGCTGACCTAAACCTAATTTCTGCCAGAATGCTATCCAATTTTCCCAGAAAGTTTTGTCAAATAGAGAGTCTTTCTCCCAGTAACTGGGGCCTTTGGGTTAATCAAACATGATACTTTCTTCTGTATGTCACACACTAAATCTGTTCACTCTCCTCTCCTCTCTCTCTCCCCATCCCACCTCTGTCTCTCTCTTTTACCAAACTGTTTTTTTTTTCAATGATTACTGCTTTGTAATACAGTTAGAAATCTGGAACTGATAGATCCCCTTCCTTCTTACTTTTTTCTTGTCTGTGTCAGCAACTCCCACTGCCCCTAGTTCTAAGCTCTCGGGCCCAGCAGCACAAGGCCAATCCTTCCACACTGCAGCTGCCCCCAGATATGGGCTCTTCTCCAGGCTATGCATCTCTAGCTTCTTCAACCCTTCCCGTCACCATTATGGTAGCCATGGCCCTGCCTTCCCACTCTGCTTTGTACAGCCTATCAATGTCCTTTCCAAGGGTGGTGCTCACAGATAACATCATAATGTGATTTGACCAGGGGCAAGAACAGTAAAATGATCACCTTCCTCTTTCTGGACACTAGGTCACTTTGACTTAATGTAGCTTAAGATTATCTTACCTTTTTTTCTTCTTCAATTTAACAAGCATTTATTAAGCGTATATTATGTGTGGGATACTGGTGCATGCTGGGAATATACAAAGGGCAAAAATAAAACAGCTCCTGTTCCCGAAAACATTTACAATCAACTGGGGAAAAACCACATGTAGACTGATAAATATAGTACAAGGTAGAGAAGAAGGAGGCTAAGGGAGAGATCAAACAACGTACTCTAGGACAATCTGGTGAGGAAAGCATTAACAACCTTGGGCCACGGGGTACAGGCAGAGAAGGCTTCCTGGAAGACATAGCACTTGAGCTGAACCTTGAAACTCAATTCAAATCAATGAGCTTTAATAAACGCCTCCTCTGTGCACAGCACCATAGGAGACACTGAGAATACAGACACCAAAATGGCAGTTTCTGCCCCTGAGGAACTTAGACTCTATTGGGGATAAAACTTCCACAGAGAAGTAGACACAAGATAACCTTAAGAAGGAGAAAGCACAAAAAGCTGAAGAATCGGTTAAGGCTCAGGGGACACCCAAGATGAGTTGTGAAGGGAGCTAAGGGTTTTTAGAAATAGAGATAAAGAGAGAACACCTTCTAGACATCAGGGACAGCCCAAGCTGTCCACACCACCGCAGGCATGGTGGCAGGAGGAATGCAGGATTCTGAGGCTAGGAAGCTCAAACTGGTCAAATGAGTTGGGCCGAGACCTGAAGCATAGCAGCACAGGCCAGAGTGAGAACTCTAAGAAAGAGACAGGATTGAGCAGTTGGTTATTGTATTAAACTATTTACGGTATTAACCGAGTACGCACAGGATATACACCTGGCCCCTATTTGCACTGATCAAAACAGAAAACAAAACAACCCTGTCACACTCACCTTATAAGCTTCTTCAGGATGCCAGCAGACACTCATTCCAGGGGAGCGGAGAACAAAATGAGCTTTCTGATTCCCTTCTAAGTCCCAGACCCTAATAAGAGAATATGACAGGGTTTACTGTTAGCCCTTTAAAACTGCTCATGTACACGGCATTATTCAAAGCAGTTAACTGCATAGCAAACTGAGATTTTGTAGTTACTCAGTAATTTTTTTTCAAGAAAGTTAAACTTTTTTTTTTAAGCAAATGAGACAGCATTACAAAAATTCAAGTCTTGCTCTCTATTACATCATAAAAACTTGAAGTATTTTTAATACTCAATAATATAGGAAGCTGCCATACTCTTTCTGTGATGTGATTAATATGCTATAACACATGCCAAACTATTCTGGCACATGGTAGGAAAAACTTTTAAGTTAATTACTTTCTATATTGTGGGCTGTATTCTGGAGTTTCCAGGAGCTGAATCTCACTAGACTAAACAGGCTGCAGTTCTCTAATTCTACAGTCAGTTCATGTTATACTTTCCATCAATGGAACTTAAAAGAAAAACAGGGCTCCTGTTTTCAAAATAACAGCATATAATTATTATGCTGTAGCTTCTAACATGGCTTGACAAAACTGAATTCACTGAGGTCAATGGCCATTTACTTGGTATTCCCTTGACCTCTCTGACCATCGTAGCCAAATAACTGCTCTTATTCATAATTCTTTTGTTTTAGCTCTCCTCTCTTTTTACTGTTGCTACCACAAGCTCAGCCTCTTTGTTACAAATTTTTTCCCTGGCAGAACTCAGGAGTGGTGGCTAAACAGAATGGGGTTTGTTCCAGTAACTTCCTTGCTTTTTTTTTTTTTTAAAACAAAAATCCATGATAATGATGGCCAGCTTGTAAAAGAAACTGAACCTCTGAGGGAGGCATTGAGTAGACATATAATGCTCATACTTTGGGGTAATAAACGTGGAATGAGCATAGTGGAAATGGCATGCCAAAATAAGAGGAGAGCCTGTGTGCTGCATCAGTGTTTATTTAATGTTAAGGGGCCCACAGCCTGCTGGGTGTCCTCCTGATAGGACATGGACAAGAGCTGCCCTGGATGAGATGAGGATGAACTACCCCTCTACAGCCCTGGAGGGTGGGCCCATAGAAATAACAACTACGGATACACTGTGGTAATGAAGTATAAGGAAGGGGCATATCTGATGATCAATCAATCAATAAACACGCATTACGCGCCTGCTTGTATGCCACGCACTAACCTAGGCACTGGGGAGATGATGCATTAATTATTCAGGATGAATTGTATTAATACGTTATAGACAGCCATCAATCAATCAACCTTTGCTCAGGGTTTAGGTTACCATTTCTAAGAAAGACTGCTTTCTTAGAAACTTATCTTGACTCAGGAAAAGCCACACGTAGACTGATAAATAGAGCACAAGGTAGGGGAGAAGAGGCTAAGGGAGAGTTCAAACAACGTACTCTAGGACCATCGGATGAGGAGAGCATTAACAGCGCTGGGCCACAGGGTAGAGGCAGGGAAGGCTTCCAGAGGACATAGCACTCAAATCAACGAGCTTTCATACGTGCCTCCTCCGTGTACCTCAGGCTGCTTGCAGCACGCCAGAGGATTCCGGGCGGGCCGTGAAAAATGCAGAGGAAAACTAGGGCCTGCGGGCCCGCAGGCTGTGTAGGCCTCTCGTATCTTTCTCCTTCCTTCCCCATAAAACTTCCCAGGCTTACTGCCTGTCGCTTGTAGACAGCTGAGGTAGCGCAGCAGATAGAGCGTTGTGCCTGGCCAGGAAGACCCAAGCTCAAATTTGGTCTCAGATCCTTACGATGTTACTCTGGGCAAGTCACTTCTATCTGACTCAGTTTCCTCAACTGTAAACAGGGATAATAATACCACCTACCTTCCAGGGTGGTTGTAAGGAACAAAATGATGAGATAATATCTGTAAGTGCTTAGCATAGTACCTAGCACACAGTAGGTGCTTAATAAATGCTTATTCCTTTCCCTTTCCTTCCCCCCCTTCCCTCCCTCACTTGTATAGAAAGGAGGAACAATGCTGACGTGGGAAAGGGGAGTCAAAGAAAGTGTGAGTCAACTAAGTGGCCGCAGGATTCTTCTTTTATGACTCATCTGAGTAATTACACACTTTTCTGTATGTGCCACAGTATCTTTCACTGTATTTTACTTCTAGACTTTTTCAATTATCTCATTATGGGACTTAACTTTTTATTAAAACAATTTCAAAAATCTAGACAATAATAATTTGAAAGAATATATATTTGGTGAAAAATGCTCATTCCAAGTATTAAAAGATTGATATATTCACTTTTAAACTAATTCAGGTGTTGTTTTTTTCAGGTGTTTTTTAAAAGCGTATCTACTTGACTAAGTAGAAGCACATCTTCTCAACTGCCAGACCTGCTGTATTTAGACCCATTGAAGAAAAAGAATTGTTTTCAACTCCATTTGGTTATAGGGGGAAGATTATGATTTGGTTGCATTATAAAGTTGTTAGGTTTGGCAACAGCCACATTTATTAGACACACACATAGTAACAGACAAGAAATAAAACACTAGCACTAGCATCTATTTTATTTCTACTGAAATAATAAAATGCTGCTTTGACTGTTTAGTGAATCCCATGAGAGAATGGTTTCAAACCCCCATTCTTCTGATTCCATTCTAACAGGCAGATGATTTTACATGTTAGCCATTAGATAAAACACAAGTATACACTAGGATTTTTTACCCTCTTTCAAAGGGAAAGCAAGATGTGGAAGTTAAAGAATAAATCTAACAATATTTTCAAAATGCTAGCCAATTAAGGAAATTCATTTTCCCAAACAGCCTATCCAATCATTGGGCTATCTTCATTTAAAAAACCCCACTTCATCACCTCAAAGCACCTCGATTTAACCCCAGGCAAATAATAACACCCCTACAAGCTTCCCTCTCCTCTGTGGGATAAGAGGATTTGTGGTTTAAAATCATCTGCTTATTCAACAAATTTTAATGGTTGTATAACCCAAGTCCACACATGCAAAAGACAATAAATTGGGCTACAATGAGCATAACTAAATTAGCTATAGATACTATCTAAAATGTGTATTCTTTTTTAATGTTGTCATTAAGTTTCTTTCAAGACTTTTGGCAGAGCTCAATAGACTTTTCTCTGGCTTTTGATTGGGTGTCTTGATCTGATTTATTCAACAGATGTCTATTTCCTGGGAGTTCTCACTGGGTGTGCAGGAAATTCTGTGGAACTTAACACCTGTGTTCACATGCTCTTTGTGTGAGTCTTCCTAGCCTTCCCAGTGAGGTGGATTAGGGATTTAATTTAGACACCCAAACTGACCTTGCCCCTGACAAAGCCTAATTAACTTTCAGGGCATGGAAAAGGCAAAGCTTTTCTTATATTCCTTATTAAAAAGGGAATCTGAGATTTATTCTTCCTTTGAATTATAATTAGGCTACATTTTTATGTTTATGAGCATCTATTCATGAGAAGTTTATATATATATATTTTTAAAGTTTTATATATATTTAAAAGTCTAAATAATTAAAACTCACAACCTTTTTTTCTAAGACACTGTTGATGGTAATAAGTAATACTTGGAGAATGAAAATGTACAAAATAAATTTTTTTTTAAGGCAATTGGGGTTAAATGACTTGCCCAGGGTCACACAGCTAGTGTCAAGTGTTTGGTCTGAGGCCGGATTTGAATTCAGGTCCTCCTGACTTCAGGGCTCTATCCTCTATCCTCTATCGCTCTATCCACTGCACCACCTAGCTGCCCCCAAAATAAAATATTTAAAAAGCTGACTTTGAGCCAGATATGGCACTAAGCTGTCTTATCTGATCCTCACAACAACCCTGTGAGGCAGATGCTGTTATTATCCCCATTTTACAATGGAGGAAACTGAGGCAGAGGGGTTAAATGACTTGCCCAAGGTCACACAACTAGTGTGACACATAACCATCTGAAGACAGATTTGAACTCACGTCTCCCTGACTGGCCTCCATCCACTGCATCATCAGCTGCCTCTCCTTGTTCAGTTTCTTAACAGTGCAAGAGCTTCCTTCATTTCAATTCTGGGTGTAAATGAACTGAATCGATTGACAGCTTTGATCTGATAGTCACTGTGTCTGAGCAAACTTTTCCACTGTTTACAGAAGAAGCAGAAAATGACCGAGTGAAGTGCAGATCTTGCTCAAGAAACTGGGTCGGCCATTTTCCTTCTGGAGACCTCAAATTCCTGTCCTGTGTCCTGTCAAACGACAGGGGTGTGTTGGGGTTGTTGTCAGACAAGATGACTTATTTTCACAGGGTGCTGGGAGTTCTCACTGGGTGTGCAGAAACTTGTGTGGAACTTACACCTGTATTCACATGTTCCATGTGTGAGTCTTCCTACCTGCCCCTGGGGGGCCCCATTACTCATGATGCTGATACTGGGCTGGGGTGATCTCCAGCTTTGATATCCTATGATTCTAAGTCACACACACGACTCTCCCATGAGGCCTCTGCCTTAACGGAACAGTTTCTAAAATATAAAAATCATAAAATTTATATTTATTTGCTTTATATTGATGCTGCACATTTTATACATATTTTTATATGTGCCTGCTGTCTTCTCCATTAGAATGAAAGCTCTTTGAAAACAGGGATTGTTCATTTTTTGTACTTCTAACTCCAGTGCTTAGTACACACAATAGCTGATTGGTCTTACTCAAAATAAACAGTGTCAAACTTTAAACAAGGCACTGATATTATTCAGCTTTCTTACATGTAAATTATGCTAATAAAATCAACTAAAGACTAGTACAAAACTTGACATTAATGATTTTTATCGAGAGTAAAGGATGTTCAAACTGAGCTATTATAAAACTGTGAAAGCGTTTTTTAAAAAAAATCCCAACTAGCCACAATTTCTTAAACATTTCAAGAGTTGGCCATACAAAAGGTGTGGTGATTCTGGCCAGGTTGAGGAATTAACCACAGTGGTCTTAATGGTCAAACCTCTTAAATGCCATTACATGTCCTTACAAGTATGTGAGTAGTGCGATTCAAAACCTCGGTTTGG